TAACAATTTCACAGAGTCCATCTAGCTGGAGCAGGTCAGGTGAAGCCCTGCAGAATGTGGTCAACTTTTGTAGGAGTTACAGTGTTTGTATCAGGAGCGCAGAGTTTCTTACTTTGTAAAAGATAGCACCTGTTCTCTGTCAGAGGATACAGTGTTGGGAACCTATCTACTTAGTTCCCAGACACTTCACTTGGCCAGCAGGTCCTGAGGTTTGTTGGGGTTTATCAGTCTAGCCAAAGTCACTGAGCCAACCAACAAGACCTCATTTATACAATGAATACTTCGGACCGGAGAGGGTGTTTTCTAACAGTATGAAACGTCACAGTGCCAACAGAGACACTTTTTTATAACCCTGCATGCACTGAATTAGCCTGATCCCCCCTCACAAGGTTACTTTCACTTTTTTTCACTCTTCATGGTAGTTTTCTTACCCAAACTCTAATACACACTGTTTGACAGCAACACAGACCCAAGAGTTTTGGCAGAGCACCAGAGACCGTCATCTCCTGGCTAGAAGCTCTGGGAATCAAAGGAGTTGGGGGCAGGGGTTCCACGGAGGGAGCAACTAGTGCCAGGAAGCACAGCTCTGCACTGACTGCCTTGGCACAGCATGGCCAGGCACTTGGCCAAAACAAACCCACTTTTTTTTTTTTTTTTTAAATTTTACTGTGATTTGGGTGAAAGTTTACAGAGAAAATTCATTTTCCATAGAACAGTTCATACATATTTTGTTTCATGACATTGACTGCAATCCCCACGGTGCACCAGCCCTCCTCCCACTTCCTCTTTATGGCTAACTTTCCTAACTTTCATGTTCTTTTCCATGAATTCGTGCCCCTTGAGCTATCTTCCTGTGCAAATACTGCCCTTCTGATCTTCCATGATTGATTGTTCTAAAGAGTGTACCCACCTGGTGTAAATGTTCACCCCGTATGCCTGTCTATTATTTGTCTGGAAGCTACAGGAGTGAGTTCAGTTCCAGTCCTGAAGGGTGACTAGGGGCCACAGTCTCAGGGGGTCCCCAGTCTCTATCAGACAAATAAGCCTGGTCTTTTTGTGTACGTGATTTTCAATTTTGTTCCACATTGTTCTCCCACTCCATCCAGGATCTCCTACACTTATCCCTTTCTGAGTGGTTGACAGTGGTAGCTGGGCACCATCTAGTTCTTCTTGTCTCAGAGTCATGTAGGCTGAGGTTTCCATGGTCCACTACTCCCTTGGACTAATTGAACAAACCCACCCTTAACAATGTTAAAACAAAATATTTCATAGGTTGACTTGCAGAACTAACTTGAAAGCTTTATTT